GATCCTCCCTTGAAGGACCAGGACAACTAAACCACGACTCGGAACTCAGGAACAGGCACTGACTGGAAAGCCATCTTTGTCTTGTGGTAATGGATAACAATAAAGAGTCAGTCCTGACGGCTGTATTTTCCACAATTTGCCATCAAACATTTATATAAAGTTTAACTTGATAACCTGGATTTAAGATGTAACCCAACCCAAATGATCTCATCCATTCCAACTCTAGTGACCCTATCGGACAGTGCAGGACTGCCCTCTAGTGTGTCTGAGCTAACAGATTTTTCCAGAACTAGACTGCCTCATCTTTTTCCTGCTGAGCAGCTTGAGGGGTGCAACTACTCATCTTTCAGTTAATAGCCCAATACTTAACCCACTGCACCACCAGTCTTCACTATTTGACACGCTTAAAGCCAAAACTAACAAGCTGACAGCCATCAAATCAATGGACTCACAGTGACTCCGTGGGACAGTAACAAACTGCCACTGTGGGTTTCTGAAACTGTAACTCTATAGAAGGAGAAAGCCTCGTCTTTCTCCCCACTTACAAGCCAGCACTGCTGAAAGAAAGGACAACGCACTAACTGATGAAGATCAAAGACCACAGCGTTCAGTGTACATGACATCCTTATATCTCAACACCAAGACAGACTAAATCCAAACAAGTGGACCAACAAGCAACATCATGATCAATGAAGAAAAGTGCAAAGTTATCAGGGAATTCATTTTACTCGGATCCACAACCAATGCCCATGGAAGTAGCAGCCAAGAGATCAAACCATACACTGCATTGGGTAAATCTGCTGCAAAAGATCCCTTTTAAAAGTGTTAATGAGCAAAAATGTCACTTTGAAGACTAAAGTGTGCCTGCCCTCACAGGCATGCAAAGGCCGTGCAATGAATAAGAATGAAGAACTGGTAGGATATTTTGATTATGGGGGTGGCAGAGAATATTAAATGTACCAGGGTCTGCCAGAATAACAGGTGTATCGGTCTTAAAGGAAATACTGCCTAAATCCTCTTCTGAAGCAAGGACAGGAGACTTTGTTATACCTACTATGATTGTCATCAGGAGGGGCTAGTCCCTGGAGAAGGACACCATGCTTCATAAAATGAGAAAGAGGAAGATCCTCAAAGTGATGGTTTGACACAATGGCTTCAACAATGAGCTCAACTGTGGCAACAACTGTGAGGATGGGGCAGGCCTGGGCAGTGATTTTGGTTTTTTTTAATTTTACATGGGATCATCGTGATGGCACCCACAATAGACAGCAGCAGATGGGCCTGTGCACATGCTGCCCCGATTCTTTCACATGGCCTAGGTTCTACCCTCATACACCAGGAAGGTGTCCATGCCATTCTGTCCCTGCTAACAACTACTGAAATGTGGGCGAGATGATGTGCTCATCTTTAGTTCCGAAGCTGTGGCTACAGCCACCTAAAATAACTTATTCAATCTGCACGAAGTATCCCATTAAGACTCTTAGATCATGACAAAGAACGAGTACAACTTTCATGGTTTAATGTTAAAATTCTAGCTGTGCTGGAGAGACTGCTAGTTGTCCTCCCCAAAGACCAATCTCATTTTTTTTCAGAGAGAAAATACACTAAAATTCATTTTGGGAGCAATGTACCTAATAAACAAAATTTCCACTTTTCCTGCAGTTCTGGTGGGCTAGGACATTTAAGCAGAGGTTCATGGGTGAGGCTTCTAGGAAAGTTACTTAGAAGAGTCAGCATCTGACTTACGAGGGTTCCCTTCCCCCCACCACAAAAAAAAACACCCTAGAATTGAGCAGAGCTTTTGTACTATGCATTTTTCCCGCTAGCCGAGCATTAAGCAACTCACTCTGAGTTAGTGCACCCAGTGGCATTGCCTGGGAAGGTTCTCTCTGGTCACAGTGAATTTTTTGGTAAAAGCTGTTTCACTTAAACTTTGTTTTTTTGTGATGGTCAATTTAAGAGACCACTGCAGCTATGAAATTGTTTCCTGCTTGGGAAAAATGCCTCAGAAACTGTTGTGATGCTGAACACAGCTTACAAGGACAGCGCTATGGGAAAAACTCAAGTGTGCAAGTGGTTTTCTCATTTCAAAAGAGGTGACATGTTGATTGATGACACTCTTTGTTCTGGACTTCCATCAACTTCCCGAATGGATGAAAGTATCCACTCGAGTGCATTTTGGAGTTTGTTCCACCAGGTCAGATTGTTAATCACGTTTTCTATTTAGAACAGTGGTTCTCAACCTTCCTAATGCCATGACCCTGTAATACAGTTAGTTCCTCATGCTGTGGTGACGCCCCAACCATAAGATTATTTTCGTTGCTACTTCATAACTGTAATTTTGCTACTGTTATGAATCAGGAGACCCCTGTGAAAGGGTCATTTGCCCCTCAAAGGGGTTGTGACCCACAGGTTGAGAACCGCGGATTGAGGTTCTAGAAAGATTGTGTGTGCGACAAAAAAAAAAAGGTCTGATTTGTGGCAGGTAGAGGGCTGGTGTTGCCACCACGACAATGCACCTACTCAGGCAGTCATCTCAGTGCACCAGTTTTGGGCAAAAAAACAGCATGCCTTTCTTGCTCCATGCCCCTGACTCACCTGACCTTGCTCTGTGTGACTTCTTTTTGTTTCCTCAAATGAAGAGGGGGAAAGGACAGCAATTTGGCAATGTAGAAGAGGTGAAGAAAAAAAACCAAGGGAGGTGCTGTCAGCCATCCAAACAGATGAGTTTGAAAATTGTTTCCAAGAATAGAATAGCAGATTTGACAAATGTATTAAGTATAACGGAGAGTACTTTGAAGGTGATAAGGTTGTTTTGTTTAAAAAAAAAAAAGTTTTGGGGGGCATACCCCCTCGATGTCTCACATGTTCCTCAAGCCAATCTTGTCTCAACTCTCGCTATGATGGCGGGAACCCAAGCAGCCCTTTTGAAGCAGAGGTAATCTCAGTGAGGAAACTCAGATTAGCCCAAAGAATGGTTCTTACAAGCAGAAATATCAAAACCAACCCAGAATAGAATGGTTGATGCCTGGAGCGTCACACAGAGAGGCTTTTTTTTTGTTTTGTCTTTTTAGGCTTCTTAAAGACAACATTTTTTTCACTTAACAAGCTACTTATCCTTAGCCTCAATTTCCTCACCTGAAAAATTGGTGAACATTACAGGCATGCCATGAATTTAGCATACATATACAACTTTGGTAGTGATTGGAAAAGTAATCACTCTTCATCATCTACAGGAATGAAGCCCTCTGGTGCGTCACTCAGTTAACAGGTTATGGGCTGAGAGTGACCCTGCCACACTGGAAAGGGCGACTGGACACCATCTGTCTTGGGGGCTCTTGGGGGTTGTGGGGTCAGCTCTGACACATGGAGATGCTATAATTATAGGGCAGTAGAACCACCCCAGGAGGGGTCTCCTAGGCTATTATCTTTACAGGAGCACATCACCAAAGAGAGGAGTTCAAATTGCCACACCTACAGTCTGTGGCTGAGTGCTAACCATTTCAACACCAGGACTCTTCCCTGCGTGCTAGGAGTTGGTATGCAACTTATTATCTCATGCTTAGCACCACACACAAGCATAAGGTCTTTTTACTCCCCCTTTACCTTCTGACTTGGCTGTTGCTCCTACTGGTCCTCGCTGGCGTCCACGGCCAATTAATTCCCCCTCCACTGGTGTCTGTTGAGGTCTAGGCTGGATATAACCAGGTTGCTGACTCTAGTTATTTGCAAAATGAAGAAAAACATTCATGTGAGTGAAGGGAAAGGCAGTAAACAGTACTGGGGAGGTTAGGAATGCACGACCAAGGCAAAGGAGGATACTGGGAGGTGCGCCAGTGTCAAGGGCAACAACAGTACATGTAAGATGCACAGCTCTGCAGTAACAATTTATGAGTGGGTTCATAGGTAGCCATAGCAGCTGTATAGGTGTGAGGTGCCATATCGAAATACATCCATAGGTGTATATAGTTTTGGCAGAGGCTATTTCTACATATCTATGTCCCACAACATTATCAAAGTATATAGTAGAGAATATAGCAAACAAGACTGTGAAAATTTCTTAGCCATCAGCTAACACCTAGGGGGAATGAGTCACTGGGCATTAGTGCTTAAAACCAGTCTCAAGGGACTAGACCAATTGGCATAACAATTCATAAAGACATTGCTGTACAACCTACCTTGATGAGTAGCCTCTGTGTTTTGAAAACTTGAGAGTTGATCTAAGACACAAATACTGCTTTCCTCTCATTTGGAGCAAAGAAGATTGAAGAAAATCAAAGGCTAAAGAAGGCAATTAGTTCAAAGGACCACTGGATCACGTGAACCACAGCCTGAAACCAGAACTAAATGGTGCCAGGCTACCATTACCAACTGCTGTTTGGGATAACAATATAAGGTTCAGTAATAAAAATGTCAAACAAAATTAAAAATTATTTTTAAAAGACCAACGTTATTGATCTGATAGAAATTGGTGAATGCACTAAGACTATGGTCTTTAGACACCCTTCAAACCTGGAACTGAATCCACCCTGGAAATCACCTTTCAGCCAAGTGATAGCTTAAAAAGTGAACTATCCAGGAGGAACATCCTCCTCAATACAACCGACCAGGAGACCAAAAGGGTAGCATTTGCCCCAGGAGGAGGCCGGCAACAGAGAAGCCAGGCAGGAAGTGGGAAGTGCTATTCCATTGAGGGATTGCAACCAATGTCAATTACCAAAATGCACATAAATTGTGGAATGGGGTAAATTTTATATACAAAACTTTCACCCTAACCACCCTAAAATGTTCCCCCAAAAGGACCACATTTTTTTTTTACATGAGGTCACGGGGGAAATAATCTTAAACAAATCATTCAACCCAACACCGATCTAAAGTAGTGCTGAAATACTTTATTCTTATAAAGGCATTTCCTCAAGAGAAGAGTCAGCAATGAAGTCAAGAGTTTTGAAAAGCTTTTTATCAGGAGATAGACCGTTAACTTCACTGCTCGGTTTTTAATCTTTATCATAGCACATGGCTTCTAATTTCTTCTTGACAGCTTAAAGAAGAAAGGTCCAACAAGGGCCTTGGTTTGTCACAACAGAGAAAGTCATAAAGCACTCACTGCAGCAGCGCCCACATGTTGTGCCAGCTCCTGCCCTCGGGCCCTCCCTCTTGCTCTGGCTCTGGCTCGCCCAGTCATTGTTTTTCTGGAAAATAGAAATTGTGAAGACAGTTTTCAGTACACACCGTTCCATTTAACCACTCCCACCACTCCCGCAGCAATTACTTTAAACTTACAATTCCAAAACAACCCCTAGGGCAACAAATTTTTCTCATTGCTCTAAACCTCCATGCACTTCCTTAAAGAAACACTCCTACACTCAGCAGGTGTTCTAAGTGTAGACCAGGCACTAAGTGGTAGAGCTAAATGGTAAAATGTCTGGAAAATGTATCTGAATAGAAGCTTTAGTTTTCCAAGATGGACATAGCGTAAACAGGTCTAGGAGGGTGAACCAATTAAGAACACCCAAATGTTAGGAGTGTTTGTTTGTTTGTTTTTGCTACATTTTGTATGTCGCTATTAAACTGGGCATTTAAATCAGATATCCTAGGCCTCTAAGTGACTCAGAAATGTGCATACTCTATTCCTCCTGGATCTCCCCCACAGGTCTATGTGTAGCTTAACCTTAACATCAAAACAAAGCCTTTCCACCTGCCTCTTTCCTCTCCCATAATTTCCTTTCAGATTAGTGGTATCATCATCTACTGTCTCTAAAGCACCTGGCTAGTCATGTATCTCCAAACAAGTCCTTTACTGCTCCTGCCCCATGCAACAATTCTCATTTCTCCTGCATCAATGTAGTGCCTCTGTGGGCCAGGCTGTCATGGATACTGTTGTGTATTGGCAGTGCCCTTCTTCCCTCTCCCATGCAGTGGAAACCAGTATCGTCTAATTATCTTGGGTACAGGTCTTGGAGCTGGAGTGCCTAACTCAAGTTCTTCACACTTTACAAAGGATCTTGAGCAAGCTACATGTGACCTTGAGGAATACCTTCACTTGTAACATGTGAAGTTGTATGGAAGGGTAATTGTGAGGATCAAATGCCAATCCATATAAGGCACTTCATTAACAAAAACAAATACACAACCACCATTCAACAAATAACCCTAGTAGAAAAAAGGCATAAAAAACTAAAATTGTTAAAAGATGTAATGAGCAAGTAGGGGCGGCAGAGTGATAAGGAGTTGAGCTGCGAACTATAAGGTCAGCAGTTTGAAACCACCAGTCACTGCGAGAGAGGCTTTCTACTCCTGTCAAGGGTTAGTCTCAGAAACCAGCAGGGGCAGCTCTACTCGGTCCTATAGGGTCACTATGAGCTGGCATCTCCTAGATGGCACTGAGTTAATGAGCAAGCAGACCTAAGCAAGCAGCCATAGATCAACATACCACGGCAGGCTGCCAGTCAGAGAAGCATTAGGACTGAGAAGACAGGTGGCAGGAGCCCTCTGGACCAGAGGGAAGCATTGGGGCCTGAATACTAGAGCCTGGCTTGGTGATGGGGCTGGGAGGAGTCCTGCAAGACTGTCTTGTAAGGAGTGAGGGTGCCTGATGAACTGAGGAAGTCAAGGATCAGACAATCTAGGCCTTACAGGCATTAGTAAGGGCCCTGGAGTTGACAGTCCATGCAATGAGATGCCCCTGCAGACTTTAAATCGGGAGCAAACATGGTATCACTTATTACCCTGCCTTTAAATTGGGTTCTTTTATGATTTTCAATAGCTTCTAAAACATTTGCTCTCAGAAAGTTAAGTCTAATGTTTCTAAAGACTTATCTAAAGATAAGTCAAATGATAGTCTCTAAATTTTCAAGTCCTCTTGACCCTGTTTTGCAAATGAAAAGCAACTATGACCTTATCATTTAAGAGGTCTTTCCAAAGTAAGGTACACAAGGCAGTCACTCACCGAGCTTCCAGAATATTGCAAGCAATATTCAATCTAAAGTTAAAAGGCATTCCATGTTTTTACAATCCAAACATGCAGACTTCAATAGTGGACAATACTGGACCTAGCTGTGTATGTGTAGGTCTCTCACAGGCAATGCACAAGATCAAATGTAGATTTCTGCTCTCAAATCCAGTGAACCTTACTTTGTCCCCTCACCAAGCACAATCAAAAGTATAGCATACACCACACAACAGCCTTTGCCTCAAGCGCTGTGCCATCTCTTTCACATTTTTTCTTCCTTTAAAACAGTGTTGGTTCCACCTATCAGACTTTTATCTCCCCACTGCATGCTAATTGTTTTGGGTTTTTTT